AGGGCGGAGGACAGGGTGGGACACAGGGCGGGGCACAGGGTGGGGCACAGGGCGGGGCACAGGGCGGGGGACAGGGCGGGGCACATTTGGTGGCGCACGGAGCAGCGCACGGAGTGACACAGGGCGGGGCGCACTGGGTGACACACGGGGGGTCACACTTGGCCACGAACTGGGGCACGCAGCAGGACTCCAGGCACTCCAGGCCCTTCTGGCCCGTCCCGATGGGCACGCCCGCCTCCAGCGCCCCGGCCAGCTCGGCCGACTCGGTGGAGCCCACCACGGTCTCCTGCGGGTACGTGGTGAGGATGGGCCCCGGGAAGGTGACAACCACGGGTGGCGGGAAGATGATGACCCGCGAGTCGGGACAGGCCACCACGCAGGGCTCGTTGCAGGCGGCGGCGCGCGGGTCAGGGCAGGGTTCGGCGCACATGGTTTTCTCGCAGGACATCTTGCGGCTGGGCTGGACCTGAAAGGAGGGGATAAATGTCAATCCCAAGGAACTGGAGGGATGGGATCAACCCCTGGAAAGGCACAAGGTGGTGGGTGGGTTGATAACTGCTCTGCTCTGCTTGGCTTGGCTCTTCTTTGTGACCTTCCAGAGCCCTGGGATCCCAAACACCTCCCTGGGGACACCAAACCACCTCTTTTGGGAACACCAAGCCACCTCTTGGAGCACATCAAAACACCTCTTTGGGGACACCAAAACACCTCTTTGGGGACACCAAATGACCCCTTTGGGGCTGTTGTTTAATTAATATCTGTTTTCTCCTGTGCAATTTGGGCTCCAGAGGTGGAGCTCAGTAAAATGAGGGTAACACATAAACCACTGTAGGAATGGACAACATGGGAGGTTTTACTGGACCCAATTTGGACAAAGTCTGGGCTAAGAAGATAAAAATCCAAGGAATGTCATCCCTATGATGGAACTGATCCATAAGGATACCAACAATTATGGATTTAGTGCAGTCAGTTCATAAAAGGTCCCTTTGCCACAGATATTGAGCACAAAACTCACTAGGAAAATTCAATAAAAACCTTTTGCAAGATCATGACGAAAAACTGAAGCACAACAATAACCTGAGAGCAGCTGTCCCAAATTTAAATTTCAGAGGGATTAAAACTGTTCCCAAACCAGGGCTGAATTTTTGTTTCTAGTTTTGAAATAAATTTAAGGGTGGGGATTTGGAAAACAGCGCAAAAGTCCATTTCAAGTTGTCATTTCAACCTTACTCAAATTCCACCTCAAAGCATTGAGTGAAGGAGCCGCTTAATCTGTTGTTGCAGATTAAATTGAATATTTTGGGCTCAGCCCAGGTGATTATTTCTTTTTTAAGCTGCATATTGGAGAAGGCTGGGTGGGGTTGAGTTTGACTCAAGCCATTTTTGTTTTCTTTCCTTGTTCTAAACACGATGCCCAAATGTGAATAATTCACCCAAATTTAAACCCTAATCCAGGTACTCTCCTGAGCTTCCCACCCTTTAAATTTGCTACAACTCTGAATTCCCTGTCCTTAACTTGACGCTGATCAGAGACCAAAGCAGAGGAAAGAAATAACTTAAAACCAGACCTAAACTCAGAGCAAAACACATCCCAAGCAGATTCAAATATTCTCGCTTTGCATAAAACCAAAGCTTTGCATAAACAGAACAAAACCACCTAAAGCAGCTCTCCAAGTTGACATTTTTCAGGTCATTCCCATATCTCCTGGATAGGAAAACCAGGAATTTTGTAGGACCACATCCACAGGGATCTTGTGTCCTCATCCACAGGCAAGTGCAGCCCATCTCAATATTTCTAAAACTCGTGTTTAAATTTCCACACCACCTTTGCCCAAAATCAGATAAAAATTGGAAGTCACAAAGTCAGAACCGCCCCACCAGGTGGAAGCTGCTGGCGAGGTATTTTAAGGTTACCTAAAGGTTGTATCCATTTAATTTCCATAAAGAAATTGAATTAAATGGTTTTAATATTATCTAGATTGCAAATAAATTTTTAAACTTTGATCCCACAGCACTTCTGGATGAATAATCAAAATTATTTTGAATATTCCATGAAAATAAATGGAATTGTTTTCCAGAACAGCAGAACACGAATCCAAAATTCTGCACTGAGTTAAACGTAAACATTTTTAAAATTAGACTCATTTTATTATTTTAGGAAGAAGTTATATCAGAATCCAACTTACTCAGTTCACCGAGGAGAAGCCAACAGGACCCGCTGGAAGCTCCCTGAGTCAGGAATGGTTTTTATATCCCTGGCTGGACCACCAGGCTGATGCAAGAAAATAACGTCATATTTGAGCATTAGGTCCCATTACTCCCCAAACCAAATTTGAGGGGTAATTACAGTAATTGCTTTGCTTTGCTCACTGTTTGTGTTGATTACCCTTTTCTCACCAGCACGTGACCACCGTTGTTTGGTCCCGGATTCTTCTCATTTCAGAGTTTTGAGGCCCAAATTTATCCCTGCAGCTCTGCCAAGGTGAAAACCTGGGCTGAGCTCAGCTTTGCAGGAGCTCCTGAGCTTTGCAAGGCTGGTCCTTGCAGCTCCTTAATCCCAGGATTTGTTTTCCTGGCCTCCAAGAATGCAGCAGAGCCTAACCCAGCATTAGCCGTGAGTGTTCCCGGCTGCTTCCAAACTTGTTGGGACGTGTTTATGGGAACGGCTGGACTGGAGTGGCCGAGTCGGCTCCCAGAACCACTCCCGGCTGAGCCCGTGGGGCTCTGGCTCCTCGTTTGGTGTCCGAGTCCAGGATCCGACTCATCCCAAGTTCCAAACCTCAAGGAGTTCCACCTCAGTGTGAGGGAGAACTTCCTTCCATGGAGCTGCTGCCCAGGGAGGGCAGAATTCGGATTGTCCCTGTCTGGAGTCATCCCAAACCCACATGGATGTGTCCTTGTGTCACCTGCCCTGGGAGATCACTTCCAAGCCCAACAATCCTGGGATTCTGGGATATAAAACAGCACCGGGAGTTGATGTGGCTGGTGGAGCCCTGGTTTAGCACAAAACTCCTCCTCTGCCACAAAATTCGTGCCCGAGAAGAAATCGGAAGTGGGAAAGTCCCTTTTGGGAAAAGTGGGATGGTCAGAGGGATCCTGGTATGGGATAAATCACTCCATCCGCAGTTCCTTTCTTGGTGGTTTTGGTCACCAGAAAAATGCTGGAGTGTGGAGGAGTGTGGGAAACTCGGGGCGAGGGGAGAAGCCACCGAAGACAATAATTCCTTGCTGAACACAGGGAAAACCAGGAAAAAACCCCAGGATTTATTTAAGGTCGCTCAGGACAACTTTGGATCTAGAGGACAAAGAGTTACAGCCCCAGTTGGTGCTGGGGTGAAGCAGAAATTCATGGCATGCTGGAAGCTCAGCCCCCAAGGTGAGAGAAGCCCAGTCCCATTTAAATCCCCAAATATTCCCTGATTTGGGAAGGTGAGTGTTTGGCCAAGTGGATTGAAATGGTATCATTAGGATAACAAACACAGGGGCAGGCTTTTAATCCCAAAGAACCAGAGGGATCCGAATTCCCGAGGCTGAGTCAGGGGAATCACGTGGGTGGCCCTGACACATTTGTTTGGAAGGGACGCTATGATTCAGTCCTGGTTTAATACCCACAGCCTGTCATTAACTTCAGAGAGCCACGGCGCTTTGCATGGGTAAAACATGAGTGGGTGTTTGCAAAACCATCCCCAAGCATTTCCTCACAGCATTCCCCACGAGTGCTTTTGCCCAGGGGAGCCTCTGGGATCGCTCTGCTTCCAGGAGGGAATGCAGAGCACGGAGGTCGTGACAAAAATAAACCAAAAAAAAAGCCAGGAAGGAGGGAAGTGAGCCCAGGAAATGAGCCCAGGAAATGTTGGGGGTGCTCAAAAGCAACTATTTTGGGGTGGCAGGTCCTGGGGTTGTGGTGTCAGCATGATCCAGGGCTCCTCAGCTGAGTGTGACACAAAATTCCAGAGCTGGGAAGGTGGGATGGGCCCCTGAGAGAGGATTTTAAAGGAATCACAGAAATGGGATGGTTTGGGTGGGAAGGGACCTTAAAAATCCCCTCATCCCATGCCCTGCCATGGGCAGGGACACTTCCCACCATCCCAGGCTGCTCCAATTCCCATCCAGCCTGGCCTTGGACACTTCCAGGGATGGGGAATTAATGGATCAGGATCAGGATCAGTAGGACCTGTCAGGGTCTGCTTTCCCTGGAGCAGCCCAGCCCAGCAACCTCTGGCAGCTTCGGAAAAGTTTGGAGACTCTGGAATTCCTTTTCAGCTCCTTTCAGCAGCGCCAGCCCTGCCAGGAGGATTCCTCCTCCTCTCTCCTTAACAGCAGCAGCCTCCTGCAGCTTTTATCCAGTTTTTGGCTCTCTCGGGGGCATTCCCAGCTCCAGGTCCTCATTCCTTGCCAGGTTCCATGCCCAGGAATTCCCCAAAAGCCCCTTGGAAGGGAAGAGCCATTCTCCCATTCCTGGCACGAATTCCCTTCCCCAGAGCAGCTCCAGAGGGAGCTTTTGAGCCCGACTTCAGCATGCAGGAGTGAATTTCTTCTCCTGCATGTTTTTATTTATTTATGTGGATAAAATTGGGGATGAGGAAGTAGTTGTGGAATCCTGGTTGGAAAAGGATTTCAGACTTCAAACTGGTGAAGTTAGTAAAGGTGTTGTGAGCAGGAAATATAAATAAATATTAATTATTCGAGAAGTTTTGGATAGGGAAGTGTCTGGAGAGGTCTGAAAGAAGGTCGGGGGGGTTCCAACTCTCCCAAATTCCTGAATTAGGCATAAAGATGAGTTGGAAAAAGGAGCTACAATGGAAAAAAAACCACCAAAACAATGAGAATTTGAATGCAACAGAACTTTAATGGCAAGGAAGGGTTCAGGGCAGAACCCTTTGGGAAATGATGCAGATCCACAAAAGCCGGAGAAGGTGATTCCTGGGATGTCCCTGGCTTGCAGCTTCCCCAGGAGCTGAGCCCAGCCTGGGGCTGCTGCTGAGGGAGTCGGGGCTGCCTCAGAAATAAAAGGAGCCACAGTTTCCTCCTCCAAACCTCCTGGAGCTGGAGCTGCCCCCTCCATAGGATCCCACTCCACAGGAGCCACCCCCAAAGGAGCTGCCCCCACCGCAGGAACCCCCGAAGCCCCCACCCGAGGAGCCGAAGGATCTTCTGCCCCCAAAGGATCTGCTCCCTCCGTAGGAGCCCCCAAAGGAGCCACCTCCATAGGATCTCCCAATTCCACCCATGGAACCACCTCCATATGATCCACCCATGGAACCGCCTCCGTAGGATCCACCCATGGAACTACCTCCATAGGATCCCCCAATTCCACCCATGGAACCGCCTCCGTAGGATCCCCCCATGGAACCCCCTCCAATGGATCCCCCAATTCCCCCCATGGAGCCGCTGCCCCCTCCGTAGGATCCCCCAATGGCGCCCCCGGACCCAGAAGATCCCATGGCCCCCGATGGGAAGGAGGTGCCCACGATGCTCTCCTGGGGGCAGGAGCTGAGGATGGGCCCCGGGAAGGTGATGACCACGGGCGGAGGGTAGACCACGGCCCGCGAGTCCCCGCAGGAGGTGACACAGGGCTGGCTCCAGGCGTCCGCGTAGGGCTGGGGACAGGACACCTCGCACGGGGACGAGCAGCCGCTGCTCACCATCGCTCCTGACGACATTCTTGGGATGGACAGCAACCTGCGGCAGCCCAGAATCAGAATGGCAGTGCCCAAAATTCCAGAGGAAAAAGAAATCCTGCTCTGGTGCTTTCCATGGGCAGGAAAAAAGGGGGGAACGAGAGTTTAGACAGGTTCCTGACAACATCTTTTGTGATAGAGGGAGAACTGCCGCACTGGAGTAAAATTAAAATGTTCAAGGAGATCCGGGCCTTTACATAATCATCAGGATGATAAAATCTGTAATTTCCTGACTGAAGGAATTATTGCCCTATAAATACGAGATCTCTTCTCATTTCCCTCTGTCCTGAATAAAAGCCAAGCTTGGAGTAGTTAAGTTGTAACCTCCGCATCAAATAATCACGGTTTAATTGACACTTTCCCTTTGTGGTTTGGAACAACACAACCTCACATTTGGAGATCTGCATCTCCCAACAGCTCCAGCCACAAAAAACTTCCCTGCCCAAGACAAAGAATTGATAAAATGGAACAATTTGGCTTGGAAAAGAGCCCCAAGTCCATATTCCTGATCATTTCAGAGCTCTGACATGGAATCATTTCCCAGTTCAGTACCAACAGCCGCATCCCAGTTAAAGGAAATGGAATTAGAGGCAGAGAACTCACCAGGCTCGCAGGGAAAACCGGACTGAGGAGAAGGTGCTGGAGATGCTGCAGGAAAATCCAGGTTTTTATACCCTTCCCCACGGCTCCCAGGCCATGCGACACAACTTTGGGACATCACCAACAACACGTTTTGCTGTATAAGCGCCTTATAATTGTAATAATTGCTTTGATAAGTGCTAATGATTCGTAAATCAACTCCTCATCAGCCAATACATGCACACACCCTTTGTCTCACTTTAATCCTTAAATAATTTTTAGATTATTTTGTGACTGCTGCCACTTCCTGGCCTGGTTTGACTTGGGAATTCGCTTGGAAGGGTGAAGGATCAGGAATTCCCTCAGCAAGGGCAAAAATCAGTTTGGCTTTGTCAGGGGAAATATTTTCTGGTCACCAGAAAATTCCGTGGAAATCCAGAATTGGGAAAACCCACAAATATTGTCTTTATAAATTCTTGGATGGGAAGGTTCATTTTTTTATATCCACTTAACCCAAGGAACTCATTAAAAAGGACTTAAATTAATTCCTTGGATGCTCATTATCATCCAAGGAAGCCCTGTATGAAAGCATTTAATTATTGCAGTTCTCCTTTTGTCACCTTAATTATCCTAATTCTCCTTTTGGAGCTGTCCCCTTTTGGGACAGCTGCAATATTCCAGGGAGTCACATGTCCAGGAGGCATCATTGGATGAAAAAACCTAAATATTTTTGAGTGCACGAAACTGATTCCATCTAAAACACAATAAAAGCATCTCAAGACTGGCCAGGATTATTTTTTTCAAGGAATTCCTGAATTCCCTGAAAATTCCAACAGAATTCCTGGGTTTAAACCTCGTCTGGTGAAAGGCAGAAATGCATAAACAGGAAGAGAGATCTCCAAGCAAAACTCCCTTTATCAATCACCAGAAACATCCAGGAGGGATTTAGACGTGCTGGATATTTTGGGGTGGTTGTCACAGACAAACATCTCACACAAATATTGGTGTCATCAAAGCTTGGACTGGGGGGGGTTTTGCTCTAAATCAAAGTCAGCTGAAGAGATTTGAGATTCTAAATTCGAGGTTTGAGATTTGAGATCTAAGATTTGAGATTCGAGATTTGAGATCTAAGATTTGAGATTTGATTCTCAGTCAGAGCTGTGGGAGGGAAGCGACTCCAGTTTAGAGCTGGAATTTCATCCTGTTTTTCCTGGAAAGGGGGGTCAGGCCTTGGAAAGGGCTCCCTGGAGGTGTCCACCAAGGAACACCTGGCCACTGCTTTGGGTGACCAGGTGGGGAATCAGTCCCAGGTTGGACTCCATGACCTTGGAGCTCTTTTCCAACATCAACAGTCCCAAAATTCCGTGATCATCCCACATTTCACATTTCTATCACGATAAAGTTTATTGTTGGTGCTTACATAACTCCTATCCCCACATTTCTGGTGTTTCCAGACCCGACTGGAAAACAGAACATGAGGAGCCGATATCGGGGTTAAGATCTTGCAACAGAACCTGAACAAGCCCTGTCAGGCCCAGGTGACATCCTCGGGTTTGACAGCTCTGCCAGTCAGCAATTCCTCCTTGACTCCTCAATTAACATGAAACTTTCTGGGTTCCTCCAGCTGGGTTGGGAAATATCAATTTACAGGGGAAATCCTGGGTTCTGCTGCTGGTTCTCCCATTCTGGTGGCTCTGGGAAGCAGCAACACTTCCATCAACTCCCCAAAATCCACATTTTGGGGTGGAAAGAGAAATTTTGTGCATGAAACTGATTTATTAATAAATAAATCCCTCAAGTGGATCTAAACACATTCCAGCTTCAATTCCAGCGAGGCTCAGGGACAGAAACCAGCTCCGAGGTGACTTCCTGGGGGTCGGAATGTGGAGCAAATGGGATCAAACCCAAGGGGTGCAGTGCTTGGAATGTGACTTGGGATTAATAATGAATTTATCACATCACTTAGGAGTACAATTAGGACAATTAATGAAATAATCCAGCCAGCAAAACACGGTTTGGTAACGCGTGGGAAGCTCTTGCACAAAATGCAGCTCCCATCCTACTGGGGGTCAGGAAAGGTATAAAAGAGCTCTTGGAATTCTGCGGTGCCATCCACGGCTGCTCCTCATCTCCACTTCGCCAGACCCGGTGAGTTGGATCTTCTTTGTCCTCTGTGTGAATAGGGGAAAATATTTTCTGTCTTTTCTCTCCTTCCCAAAAGATTGTCTTCAGGAATCTTTCTAAACTCTTCCTCATGCAAGGTACCAGAGCAGGATTTCTTCCATCTGGTATTTTGGGCAGAGTAGTTAGGATTTATTGCCTGCTTCAGGTCCCTCCTCATCCCAAAAGGTGTCTCCAGGACACGGAGGACTTGCTCTCCTGCAGAACCTGTAGTGGCCAGCCATCCCATTTGCCTTTTCCAGGCTTTAAAATCCAAAGTCCCATCCACGCCTGTATTTGCAGGAACAGGATTGATGAGAGGACCAGAATTTCCCAGGCACTGGGATCAATTCAAGGTTCTTGGTGACCACCACGACTTTATCTTCTGGTACAACAAACTCCTGGGGATGAGCTGCTCCCAAAGGCCCCAGGAGTTTGGCTTTGCTCTCCAGGATTCCCAGCACTTCCAGGGCAGCAGGAAATCCCTTGGGAATCAGCAGAGCTCAGTGCAGGAAAACTCAGAAAAGGGACAAACCTCACTCTTCCCAACGTCTCCTTCCTCCCTTTTTTCCTGCCCATGGAAAGCACCAGAGCAGGATTTCTTTTTCCTCTGGAATTTTGGGCACTGCCATTCTGATTCTGGGCTGCCGCAGGTTGCTGTCCATCCCAAGAATGTCGTCAGGAGCGATGGTGAGCAGCGGCTGCTCGTCCCCGTGCGAGGTGTCCTGTCCCCAGCCCTACGCGGACGCCTGGAGCCAGCCCTGTGTCACCTCCTGCGGGGACTCGCGGGCCGTGGTCTACCCTCCACCCGTGGTCATCACCTTCCCGGGGCCCATCCTCAGCTCCTGCCCCCAGGAGAGCATCGTGGGCACCTCCTTCCCATCGGGGGCCATGGGATCTTCTGGGTCCGGGGGCGCCATTGGGGGATCCTACGGAGGGGGCAGCGGCTCCATGGGGGAAATTGGGGGATCCGTTGGAGGGGGTTCCATGGGCGGATCCTACGGAGGCGGTTCCATGGGTGGAATTGGGGGATCCTATGGAGGTAGTTCCATGGGTGGCTCCTACGGAGGCGGTTCCATGGGTGGATCATATGGAGGTGGTTCCTTGGGTGGATCCTATGGAGGGAGCAGATCCTTTGGTTCCGGGGGCTCCTACGGAGGGAGCAGATCCTTTGGGGGCAGAAGATCCTTCGGCTCCTCGGGTGGGGGCTTCGGGGGTTCCTGCGGTGGGGGCAGTTCCTTTGGCGGCGGCTCTTGTGGAGTGGGTTCCTACGGAGGGGGCAGCTCCAGCTCCAGGAGGTTTGGAGGAGGAAACTGTGGCTCCTTTTATTTCTGAGGCAGCCCCGACTCCCTCAGCAGCAGCCCCAGGCTGGGCTCAGCTCCTGGGGAAGCTGCAAGCCAGGGACATCCCAGGAATCACCTTCTCCGGCCTTTGTGGATCTGCATCACTTCCCAAAGCCCTGGGAATTGTCCTTTGTGCTCTCTTTGTGTGACTCTGCCCTGAACCCTTCCTTGTCATTAAAGTTCTGTTGCATTCAAATTCCCAGTGTTGTTTTGGGGGTTTTTTTCCATTGTAGCTCCTTTTTCCAACTCATCTTTATGCCTAATTCAGGAATTTGGGAGAGTTGGAGGCTCCAGGATGAGAACCAGGCCCAATTATCCCACTCAGCACTGGGTTTGAGGAGGGGAAAACAAATTTTCCACCATCAGTATTTCTCACTGAAGCTCTTTTATATCCCTATTTTTGCCTCACATTTTCCACATTTCTCCTACAAATCCTTCAGCTGGAAACCACTTTTTCCAGAACCAGCTGAAATCCTCCTCTCTTAAATCCTGGAGTGACTTTCAGGCCACTTTAGCAGGAATTTGAAGCTCTGGTTTCACTCTGTGACACATTCTGGGATTTGCTGAACTGGAACTCTGGGATTTTGGCTCCTCTTTCCAGAGCTTCACGATGATTGCAAACAAATTATCTAATTGTTTTCCAATTGAGCCTGTTCCTTCAGCCCCATTAAGGTTTTGCTCGGAGCTGATGAATTTATTGCATGCCATCATTAAATTAATCGCAGATTAAAATTCCTAAACCTCTTTAGGCACACCAGGAATTTAAGCAACTTTAGTCATGTGTCATCTAATTTTCTATTTACCTCCAGAGCTGTCATTCAATTTTTTAAGCCCATTTTCAGCTTAAACAGAAAGTGAAAATTTTGGTTTTCCAAGCAGGAATCTCTCATACGGGCAACT